GATGGGTGAAGGAGGTGGTGGAGGAAGAAGGTGGAAGGTGGTTGGCTATGTTGGATGGGTGAAGGAGGTGGTGGAGGAAGAAGGTGGAAGGTGGTCGGCTCTGGTGGATGGGTGAAGGAGGTGGTGGAGGAAGAAGGTGGAAGGTGGTTGGCTATGGTGGATGGGTGAAAGAGGCAGTGGAGGAAGGAGGTGGAAGGTGGTTGGCTATGGTGGATGGGTGAAGGAGGTGGTGGAGGAAGAACGTGGAAGGTGATCGGCTATGGTGGATGGGTGAAGGAGGTGGTGGAGCGAGAAGGTGGAAGGTGGTCGGCTATGGTGGATGGGTGAAGGAGGTGGTGGAGGAAGAAGGTGGAAGGTGGGAGGCGTCGCCCTTGCTACTTCAAGTGTCCCAGTCTGCCCCTCTACACCCCTCTGGCCTCCGGGCACAAATCCTAGCACTAATCCTACAATAGCTATGTAGAAAGACACAGTTTTGTAGAAAACACAGTTCTGTAGGAACCCACAGTTGCAGAAACACACAGTTTTTGCAGAAAACGCAGAATTTGCAGATTTGTCGTTTTCCGGCACTTTCGCCGTTTTTGCCTAAGTGTGGGGAGCCAGAAAACACAGGTCTGTGTTTCTTGCCCCAAACGACCTCAGAATCACTCAAAATTTGGAGGGCCCTTTCACTGTACCTCAGGGAAGGCCTTTACAAAATTTGAAGTGATTTCAACGCCGTTTGGTCGTACTTGCCTGTTTCGGGCGCCGCCCCGCCTCAATGTGAACTGTTCGGGGAAGTCCGTTTTCTGATTTTTCAGAAAAACGGACTCTGATGGTCTGCCGGGTCTGCAGGCCTTCTGTTTATGCCTAGAATATGAGGTCTGAGAAATCTCAGGCCTCATATCCCAGGTTTGACACGTCTGTCGTAGGGGTGGCCCTGGTCATTTTGACCCTTTTGCGGTTCTCAGGCGGTTTTGCGTCGGGCGGCAGGCCACTTGCTTTTTCTTGCAGTTGCAGATGTCTGGCTTGGCCAGACCTTATCAGCAGCTAAGGACCTATAGCCATAAAGCAACAGTAGTCTAACTAGTTGAAAAACAGCATCCTACCTACTCCATTACCACGTTCGAATAGAACACAGGAGGTGTGTAGGC